GAGGTCAGGAGGTTGAGACCAGCCTGGTCAACATGGTGAAACCCCATCTCTACTAAAAATACAAAATGTAGCTGGGTGTGGTGGTGCACGCCTGTATTCCTAGCTACTTGGGAGGCTGAGGCAGGGGAATTGCTTGAACCCAGGAGGCCAAGGTTGCAGTGAGTTGAGATCGTACCATTGCACTCCAGCCTGGGCAACAGAGCAAGACTCTGTCTAAATAAAAACAAGAAGAAGAAAAGAAAACAGCTAATTGGACGTGGTAGTTTGAGAAGGTTAAAACTACAGAAGCAAAAAGTTAGAAGTGGCTGATGCAGGAGGGGTGGCTATGGAGGAGAGGGGCCCCAAAGAGAGCTGTAATCCCACCAGTTACTTCTGAGTTGGAGGCCCTGCAGTGGTAAATCACTGCAAGGTGCTGTGCTTGAACACCCTAAGTCAGGCCAGAATCAAGTGGTAACAAAGGTTATCCTGAGAGACCAACATCCAACACCTCAAGTTGCCCACAATTCCTGGAAAAAGAAGCAGATGAAAGACTCCAGAGGAAAACTGATGACCAGAGCGTTCAGTACCAAAGATCACACACCTGTGATGCCTTCGCCAGGGCTGGAACACAGTCACTGGATTCCAGAGCCCAAGCCATTTCCACTTTGAGCCACACTAGAAATATTATGTCAGGGCCAAGCTCGGTGGCTCATGCCTGTAATCCCAACACTTTGGGAGGCCGAGGCAGGCGGATCACCTGAGGTCAGGATTTCAAGACCAACCTGGCCAGGGTGGTGAAACCCCATCTCTACTAAAAATGCAAAATGAGCCGAGTGTGATGATGGGTGCCTGTAGTCCCAGTTGCTCAGGAGGCTAAGGCAGGAGAATTGCTTGAACTCGGGAGGCAGAGGTTGCAGTGAGCCAAGGTGCTGCCACTGCCTCCAGGCTGGGAGCATGAGCGAGACTCCGTCAAAAAAAAAAAAAAAAAAAAAGAAATATTATGTTAGAATCCAGTTTTTACTCTAAAACCTTACCAAAGTGGAGGAAATAGCATTGATGGCTAGAATTCAGATTATCTGAGCAAAATTCCCTTCTTACTGTCTCAACACCAAACCAAAGTAGGGTTGAATCAGATGCAGTGTTGAGTAGAAGATTTTGGTAACTCACCAATAAAGTGATTATTCCCCAAGGTGAGCATCTCCTCCAGGAGGACCAGTCCCCCTGAAGCCTGAAGGGGGGTCACACTTCGTCCATCTATGAGGGAGCACTGTTGGAATCCTGTGGCCGTGACCTTCCATAGCAAAATCAGTGAGGCAGTGGCATCTTGCCGAATCCTGGAAACAGGAATGACGTAAACAGAAAGCTCCTTTCAGAAAAATTCATCTTAAAACCAGTCCTTCGAATTAAAAATGAATACAAAGATGGTATATGCATCTACCATGGTACCAGGAAATCGATGGCATAAAGGGATACGCGGGTGTCCAGTAAAACTGTACACACTCCCACTTGTTCACAGCGTACCACAAAATGAGTCACTGATAACTCACCTTTGAGTGACCACTTTGATGAACAGTAAAAGAGAACATTGAGTTTTCTTTCAGACAAATCCTTCCATAGCCACACAACATAAAGAGTTTTGCTTAAATTTGTCATAAATGTGGACTGCAACCCAACACAGCCACTTGAGTTATGCTGCCAAAATAAGCAAAAGTGTGTCACCCCTCCCCAACACCCCTCCACACACACACACACACACACAATCACACACAATCCACCTCCCAATGTTTCAGGCCTCCCCTGCCTCATTTTTGGTTAAAAAAAAAAAACAAAACAAAAAACCCACAGAGAATAGGATGTCATAGAAAGCCCCATCAACCTCAACCTCAACCCCAACCCCAACCCCAACCCCAGCTGCCCTCCTGTGCCTTCCTCCTCACAGCCCAATGCTTCAGCTACTAGGAGCTACCCCAACCCAGTTCTTTCTCAGCTCCCAAGCTTTGTCTCCTTCTCCACCTTGGAAATGTGTTCCTAGCCCACATATTACCTGTTCCCAGAGACCCCTGACCACTTGACAACATCCCAACAGCTGCCCATTCTCCCCAGTGCTCCTGGAGAAGATCACAGTAGACTCCACAGAGCCGCTCCCCTAGCACGGAGCTCCTGGCATACAGCAGGGGCTCAGTAAAGCTTTGCTACGTGACTAAATTCATGAGGAAATGAAAGTGTAAGGAGCTAGTAACCCCCACAAGTGAATTCAGAGCCCACAGGTCACTCGGCACTCCCATCTCACTTCGTCTGAGTCAGACTCTGCTAATTCTGTCCCGTTCTGCAGCCTAAGGGAGTCTCAGAGAATGGCAGGTTTGTCGGGAGGAAAAAAACAAAAGCATTTAATGAGATAGAAGACCAGAAAATTCGGAAAGGTTTATCAAGGTAAGATAATATGATCTAGACAAGAAAAGGCTGAGAGATGTTTTCATAAGAGTAAAGGAAACTAGAGATCCTGCTCCTAAAACTAGACCAGGACCGCCGGGATTTAAGCTGTCATTTGAGCAGTGAAAGAAACACTTAGGACCGGGGTCCCCCTGCTGGTAGAGCTGGAAGCTGCCTCAGACTCCACGTCTCCCTCCTCTCCCGATGGGGGCGTTCCTCCTGAGCCCAAGGGGCTCCCAAGCAGCCCTTCCAGGCTCTTCCCTTGCCAGAGTGAGTTCAAGGCTGTGGGGAGCCAGGGTGCAAGAGCAATGTAACAAAGTCGCCCTTCCAAACATGTTCAGGGACTCCATTGTTTAGAAAGCCAGATAGACAAAAATGGCCACGGATACGTGGAAGAGACCTATAGTGCCTGCAGGCCCCTTAAAAGGGAGCCAATGCATCCACCTGGTTAACCAGGACACATGTTCCCAGTCTTCTAAAAATCCCCAAAGACTGGGCAGCAAATGCCCCTTAGGTTGCATGGAAAGTGTGGGGAGGGCGGCAGTCAATGGCAACAGAGAAGGATGGGCAGTGTGGGGTTGTCAGCCGGCCTGAGGCACCCTAATACTGGCCCATATCCCACCCCCAGCTTTGTGTTCCCGGGCACCTGCTGACTTGAGCCTCACATAAAGCACCACACATACCAGGTCTCAGCCAGCACTGCTTCCCTATGCCTCTCCCTCTTCCCCACCGGTGACAATGGACCCTGCCATTTGAAAGAGCTTGAGTTTAAAACAAAACACACTCTTTGTACGCTTGCTTTTAAAGAGAAAATTGTAAAAATAAATAAGCAAAAATAATCAAAAATAAAGAGAAAATTGTAATATGTAGATTTTAAATTTGGGCCAAATTATGCATCTTAATGTAACTGATCATTCCTTAAAACCTTAAGGGGCCAATAATTTGGGAAGCAAAGTATTTAGGAGACAAGAAATCTGGCTGGGATCTTATCTAAGGCCGCACAGTTTGTCACCTCACACCAGACTCATCCAGTCCAATTTCTCAATTCCACATCTCCAGCTTGACGACCCTCACTGTAATCTCTGAAATCGCTTCCTCTAGTTTTCAAATGGCAGGGGCCACACCTACCCGTGGAATCTGCTCACAATTCTCACTTGACTGGCCACTGACACACCAGGTCCATGGATGGACACAACCCCACATATAGGTCACAGCATCACTCTTAACAGTTTGTAACTCAGAATTATCTTACTTGACTGAGGTGTTCTGTGGCACTTCAAAGGTTACCAGGCGGCCACCCGCAGAGCTGTTAGAACTGGCATTCCCACAGGCAATATCTGGGATCACCTGGGAAGGAAAAAAAACTGACATGTGATTGGGGTTGTTTATAGTATAACATAATATGATAAAGTACAATTCCATGCTGAATTTCCTTCATCCCTTTTGATGATGCAGGGGTAGGGCTAGAGAGGAGATGAAGAAGTGAAGCCTTACAAACTCAAAAGAAAATGAAATCTCTGTCATTCGATGTTCTGAAATGCAACAGCTTCCCTGAGAGCAATCTACAAATTCCTGGGATTGTTAAAACTGATCAATAGGATATTGCGGGACAGGAAGCAGATGTCACTCCCTGCTCTTTTTCCATTCATTTAACAAGCAGTCATTGACCCTTGCACGATGCCTAACCTGATGGTAACCAGGAGGCCAACTTTAAGGACTAACTTACAAACAGCAGGTAAAAGCCTAATGAGTAGGCAAGTCAGCCTTCAACTTGCAAAGGGCATGTAGTATCAGGCCTGATGACTCCTCTCTGTGCTGGTGGGTCCAGGAGCACATGCTGAGGCTGGGGAGCTTGAACGCTGCCTTTCTTTTTCCTTGTAGGCTATACCTTCACTTTTAAATTATTTCCCAAAAGTATTATATGGATGTGTATTTTTTAAAAGAGAAGTTCAACTGGTGGGGGGAGGACTGTGCTCATCAAAAAGCATATTCCAAAACCTTGAGCTATGTCCAGTGAGATACTCCTGGCCAGTTTATGCACTTATTCCTCATGCCACAGTTACTGTCCTCCCCCACGTCAATGAAAATGAAGCAATATTAAAAGTATTCATCATCACAGAATTAATTGAGAACAATACAGAAACCCTCAGCAATTTCACTCCACAGCCCACACTTAGATATTATTTTCCAGAATGCCCTACAGTGAAATTCTATGGATAAAGCCCACCACTGATATTCAAAGATGTGAGTATAACTTGTTAAATTTGTATAACAGATGGCTGTTACCCAAGTCTCTAAGGCTCCAAATAACTTTATGCTTCCAAAGCATCATTACTTCATGGAAAGGGGGTAATAATATGCCTCCTGGTTTCCATCAGGTTAGGCATACATATTAACATGTCTTCCTCTGGCACTTTAAACCTGCCTCATGAACAGCCTAAGAAATAACTCATGATATAGGAAGACGAGGCATTTCTTTCTTTCTTTCTTTCTTTCTTTTTTTTTTTTTTTTTTTTTTGAGGCGGAGTCTCGCTCTGTCGCCCAGGCTGGAGTGCAGTGGCCGGATCTCAGCTCACTGCAAGCTCCGCCT